AATAAGAAAACATTTTTTTTTATTAATATATTATAATTATTAATAATCCCATATATAATTAGCTGTTGCTAACTATATTTAGAAACCTTATTTCTCAAACTGTATTGGATATTTTTTTTATTTATAAGAACTTCATCCTCAGCTATATAGAACAAGCTTTACCCGTTTTCTTACAAAAAAGTCCAAGAATGATTTATAAATAGGCCTAGGCTTGTCTACCTCAAGTATGTTTGCGTAGCAATAAAAGACAAAATGCGCTAAATTTTCATATTCTTCATAAGAAAATTCCATAACAGCGCTACGATATGCAGCATAGAGCAAAGGGAAGTCTGTGAAATCTTCTCAGTTCATAGCCCTTATCAAGACAATCTGTTTCACTTCACTCACAGCTCCGCCACCATTGCCTACAGGTAATTTCTATAAAGAGGTACAAATCAAAGGCGCTACTCACTATTTAGCGGAATCATTCAATTGATATTCGTTGCTGCGCGAGAAGCACTCCTGTACGCCGGCGTCCAGCCAAAGCCGCTTCATGGCAGCCAGCAGCTCCTCTGAGAAGGGTTCGGTGTCGTGCATGCGTTGGCACACATCGAACACCATTTTCGCATCGCTCTACAGAAAACAAGAGAGAGAGGGAGAGAGAGAGAGTGAGAGAGTCAGATTAGATAGATAAATGGAATGCATTAGAATGGAATTGCTATTCGACTCACCTCCCGTTCATTATTGCTATACTGAATACTAAGATTTGGCATGGCTCGCAATATTGCAACTAATGATTGTATTGTGTTGCTGTAGACAACCGGTCGATATTGTTTAAAGTCCTCCGCAGTGAACCCGCTCTCGTGAATGATTTTCATTTGTTTGACTATTGTGCTTTTGCCCGATTCACCGGCGCCTGTAAATAAAGAAGCAACAAATATACAGAAATAAGATAAGACGCACATGCTACAAAGATATCACGCTTGGCCATAGTTTTGCAAGCTGCTGACATGGCACAAGAAATACCCTTGGGTTAGCATAAATAGAAAACCTAAGGAGAGTCATACAATGTTATTGAAGGTTCGATTCAAATGGAATGTATAAATATTTTTGTTATTTTTAATAATAATAATAAATAGCGCTTGGTATGGAGAAAATAGAAATTGTGGAAGTGTCATTTGGCATAAGGAACTTAGCATAATGTTTCAGATTTTATTTGTAAATTTTAAAATTTTTAAATATATGTTATATGTATTGTAGTGTGTGTGGAGTTGGATTTACTATTAATTAATTTTAAAGAAAATTTAAAAAAAAAAAAAACTTGAGCTTAACAAATTTTGATAAATAATAAAATATTAATTGAATTATATGTTTCAGTTTCTATAAGCAAAAAACTTTCTGGGTTTTGGTTTTTGGTTGTTGCTAATATAATATTTTCTGACTTTTATTGAACTGTTGATTTATTATGATACATTTGTTGTTAAGCTTATTGCTCAATTGAATTTAAAAAAAAAAAAAAATGTTATCATTTATTATAAAATATTTTATTTACAAAAAAAAAAGGGAAAAAAAAACAAGCCTTGCTTCTGTTTTATTGAACTGTTGCTAAATATTATAAATTTTTAGAATAGGATTGAATACAACATTTTTTAGGATTCAGATAGTTTATACTGTTCCATCTATATATTGACAGATGGAATTCTGTTTTATTTCTATATGACAGATATAAAATAAAATTAATACACACAAATAAATATCTACTGTTTTTTCTCAACTTTTACTCAATAATCTTCCCAACTTTACATAAAAGAGAAAACGACTTTACCAATCAAAACTATCTGATATAATTCAGACTTAAATAAAAAGCCAAACTACCCCACAAAGCAGTGGCGTAGGGTATCTTTTCGCTATGGCAAATCGCCCCAAGCCAGTGTGTGTCTGTGTGTGTGTGTGTGGCAAAGATGTAAAGTGCAAAATACAGAAGGCGTCTGATTATGTGCAGTGACGCAAAACGCACTCGGGGCACTTTTTCACTGTGGGCGTTACAGGGGCGGTCAATGAGGCGGGGCGGGGCGSTGCTGGGCAGGGCGGGGGAGGTTATAAATATTTATGCACAGATTACAAGTGCATAGTTCGTAGTTGTTGAGCTAAATGTGTGCGCTTTGTATTATACAAGTAGAGCTTAATGGCCTTTAGCACACACACACACACACACACTGAGAACGTTATCGTGATTATCATTATCATGATCATCATTATGATTGCCATCATCATAATGGTCATCAGCATCTTATGCTCTTGGCTCGGACTTGTCCGCCGGCTGTAGCACAGCTCTGAACATAACAAAGGCTTAATTGTTGGCTTTAAGTTTTTTCTCTATTCTACTTTGGTTTTTTTTCTGTTTAACTTAGGTGGTCTACGCCCGAAATTGCTCTATTTGGGTCTCAATTGGTGCCTTGTGCCTGGCTTCACTTGCATTAACTAGCCCACTTTGCCTTTGTCTACTGCATTTGCCGTCTAATTTTAGCCGCTTTCATTTTACACAATTTTCTGTGCAATTTTCCCCCCAGTTTTTCATTCTAATTTTCTTTCGTTCTTCACCATAATTGAGTGCGCTTATGTGTATGTGTGTGTTTGTGTATTTGTGTTTTGCATGCACTTGTTGATAATCTGTGCATTTAAGTCAGCTGGAAAATTATTGCTAAAGCGCTTCACAAATTATCTTTGCTAACGATTTTCCGTGAATTTCTATAATTTATGGTACGAATTTTCAATGAAATTCTTTTACTTAATCTGGGGGAAATTTTTGCATTAGAATATTTATTATTTATGCTTATGTTTATTTACCCAAAATGGGAATTTTAGTTAGGGATTTTTAAATTAGTCAAAGTATTGTTTGGGTGTGAAATTTAAAATTTGTATAAGAATACAGCCTTCATCAATTGTAACTCCATTCATGCAACAAAATGGAGTTTGACTCCAGTATCTGGAACCTAGTATCTTGTATCTATATCTTGTATCTGATATCTTGTATCTGATATCCTGTATCTGATATCCTGTATCTGATATCTTGTATCTTGTATCTTGTATCTTGTATCTTGTATCTTGTATCTTGTATCTTGTATCTTGTATCTTGTATCTGTATCTGTATCTGTATCTTGAGACTTTGGTCCCTTAAGATGGATTGTGGCTTGTGACTTGTGGCTTGTGACATATATTTGTCTGGTTGTATCTAGTATCTGGTATCCTGTATCTAGTATCTGGAATCTAGTATCTGGTATCAAGTATCTAGCATCTAGTATTTACTGTCCTGAATCGTGTATCTTGTATTTGTTATCTAGTATCTATATATCAATAGCTATCTCTACAAATCAAGGTCTTAAGCTATCTTAATTCATAGCTGATATCGTATAGTTTCCCTTTTTTGCCATTTATAAACCTATAAATTTCTCCCAAAGACCATAAATATTCTTATAATAAACAACTACTATAAAAAAAGAGTTTAATAATACAAAAACTATTTGATAGGACCTTTAGGGATACATTTTTAATCGCTCAGCTATTTACGGCAAGCCAAAAAGTATTTCCGTTTTTAAACATTCCATATTGTTACGTTCTATATATAGACAAGCTAGACGTTGCCTAGAGAAAGGGTCTTTATAGCACACGCAGCACAAGCCTAACGTGTTGCGGGTCGTTTACATGCTGGACTGTGTCCATAAATTAAGAATGCGCCTTGGAAATTTGTTTAGGTTCCGTTGTTCATTTGAAGAAAACAGTTCAATGCGCTCCAAACGTAATTGTTAAGAAAATTTCTCGATTATAAATATCTATAAGAGTGAGTGTGGGTATGGGTGTGTGTGTGTGTATGTCTGTGTGAATGCATCCATTCAAGAACTATTAAATACAACAATCAACTTGGGAGTTGAGGAACCGAGAACCGAACGAGAAATGTTTTGGCATCAAGCGCAAAGTTTATCTAGCTCGGCTAGTGGAAGACATTGTTTATGACTGCCGGCACGTGAAATTAATGAGATGTTTGTATTGGGGAAGTGAAGGCGAGTGCTTAAAATTTAATGCCTACGTAAATTGCATGAATAGCCAAAGAAAGACGGAGCCAGAGCAAGAACAAGAGAAAGAGCAAGAGCAAGAGCTGGAGAAATAGAGATGAGGTCGAGGTGAGAGTTTAGTTTTTGTTTGATTATTATTTTGAATATGTGCTCGATTTTTGAACAACTCGCACGCACACCGAAGCTTCTTTTAAATAAACATTGTTCTCCAGTATGAGAAAAGTAAGCATAACACATACATACACCCACCCACTTATATATATTTATAAAGAAATGCTGAGCAGCATTTTAACATTTTGTACAAACACGCAAAACTGTCAGAAATTAAATCTTTTGCCCAGGAGACGGACGCTGATATTTGCAAGAGGAAATTAA